GTTCAGGTTTTTTTTATAGAAGACTCTTGTACCCCTTTTTATGTAGTTTGTGTGAGGAGCCCCCCGAGCTCTGACACTCGGCTGTTTTTGGAGTGTTTTTAAGCTTATGTGAACTTTCTTAGTTTAAAGGCAAAGTGCACTGATCAGTAATGCCCCCGGACCCGACCTGACCCCACCCCTCTAGATGGAGACTTGTATCCGGCTGCCGTTCTGTTTTTATATCCGGGGTGCAAGTCTTTTAATGTCCTGGCCGTGCCCGCACGTTAGTGTCCCATCGACATCTATGGGGCTGGTCACGAGGCCGGAGATGGTCCAGTAGAAGTCTATGGGGCTAGACGGAAGACCTTGCACTGCTAGATATGAAGTAAATTGTGCAATCGCAGCCATTGGATTGAAGCAGGTATGCGTCTGTGCATGGGGAGGGAGGTTTGGGGTCAGAGGACGGGGAGGGAGGTTTGGGGTCAGAGGACGGGGCGTACATGATCAGCGGACTTTTATCTGCTAAATATATTCCCGGTACATCGAAACGAATGTGCCATTTTTTTTTCGCCTCTAGAGCACCCGTAGTGAGTGGAAAGTACGTCCGCTACCGGCCATTCTGCAGAGGAGGACCCTTGCTTTGTGTGTGGAAGCCGTGGTCTCTCTGCAGAGGTCCAAGACATCCCAGCAGAGTCAAACCTATAGCTCTGAAAATGGCAGGAAGCGTGAACTTTGATTGCAGAGCTTTAGGTAGGAGTCATGGAGGGGGGGCTTTTATGCTATTCTCTGTATGCCCCTGGGGTGGCCCGGCGCCCTTTGGATGGTGGCCCTGTAACCTTTCGGGTGGCGGCCCTGCGCCCTTTCTTGGGTGGCAGCCCTGCGCCCTTTCAGGCGGGGGGGTGTCCTACTGTGTGTTTTTTGACATTTTTAGTTTTGAATCTGCTTCCGAACGAGAAGCACCAATTCTTTTACAAAGTAAAAATTGAAAGAATGACTCCTAAATTTTAGGGAAAAGCTTTTTTTAATGAGTTTTTAGGCGTATCTGTTGATCGCAATCAGGGCGGTCTGTCTTGTCGGCCAATCGGGCTGTTTTTTAATGAAGCGACCAATCGGCTTTTACTAGAAGCTGATTGATGGGGCTTCAGTTTTTTTGGTTGGGCACACAAGATGGCCGCCTTTCTGTGGGCAACACGTACACTTAATGATTTGGAAAAAATACAAAAGTAGCATCGTAGACATATTGGCGTTCGGGAGAAGATGGATTTCTGCTGCTCTGCTGTATTTACTTCTGTTTGAATAAAGAATTATGTGCTATTATGACTTTGTAATCTGTTATTTGCTTCTCCGGCTGCCCCTTTGTTTGCGTTGTGTATGACCTGTGGCTGGGCCGCCTGTCCGGTAACATCCCCCGTGTAGTCCTCTTTGTTTGTGAGGACCCTGGAGTCTGACGCCTGTCTGTCCTGCCCACTAACCATGGAGTTGGAATGACGGGCAAGGAGACTCATTGCAGCTAAAATTCCGGTTGCATGATGGGAATTATAGTTTGTTTCAGCAGCCATGCGCATTTTAAAGGGAAGATGTTGGCGCTTTCCTAATGCTGCTCCCAGGTGTCTGGGCATAGCTGTGTATTCACATCAGAAGTGATGACCTCACTTACATATACATTTATATATAGGGACAGGAAGTAGGGGCCACAGCTAGTAACCAGCCCAGACTCCAGCTTTTAAGGTGCATTGAGGTAGTGTTTTTGACGCCTGCCCTTCCCAGGCCCCCCCGGGCCTGCCCTTCCCAGGCCCCCCCCAGGTGGAGGCCCGCCCTTAAATAACGGAAGATTTAATAGCCAACTGTGGTGCAGGTGATCAGTACAAAGTGCACAGAGTCTCCTTGTGATGGAGGTTCTCCATGTTGTTCCATTAGACACTATCCTCCACACCAGACTCGCCCCGTGCCGTCACATGTCACACTCGGAGGTCTTAATTTTCCATTTGTGATTTATTCAGGAATAAGTGCAATGTGGTTTTTGGATTTAAACAAATGGGAGTAACTCTCGGCACACACATTTATAAAAAGGGATTGCACTGAAGACTCGTCTAATGCCCAAATTTTACATCTACCGATGCATGCCCTTCCTGGGAGGAGAAAGGGAAGGATCTGGCTGCCATAGACCACATGGACCTGGCCCAGACCTCTACTTGCATACAATGATAGACGAGGCTTCAAATTCTTACAGATTCAAAACAAACATTTCTGAAATATAAAATATATATATATATAATTTTTTCCCCACCAGTCATGTTTCCAGCTACAATCTCTAGGATAAAACGATACAACATAATGCACACAAATCAGACCTGTTAATACATTACGGTATTGGTTTATGTTAAAAAAATCTGAGGGTTTAATGTCACTTTAATGAAGCGATGTGATGGTCATGATGTTCATTTTCTCAAACTAGAACGGGGTCATGGCCAACGAATCCCGCTGGATGTTCTAACCAAACTGGTAAATACTCAATTGGAATGCATACTGCAGGTGAAGGGACAAGTCTGTGCACACCTGACCACAATATGGAGCCTCCCCATTGTCCTCAGTATGGAGTTGCAGTGCCCCCACCCCACATGGTCATTAGCATGAAGTCGTCGTCCTCCCCCCCCCATCCCATTCTGGCTATAACAGCCTCCATTGTTCTGTGGGAATTTGTCCCATTTGTGAAGTCAGGTACGGAGGTTGGATGAGAAGACCGGGCTCAAAATTGGCATGCCAAAGGTGTTCAGTAGGGTTGAGGTCAGGACACTCTAGTTCCTCCACCAAACTGGTACCACCATGTCTGTATGGAGCTGGCTTTGTACACGGGACAGTCATGGTGGGACAGAAAAGGGTCTTCACCAAACTGTGACCACAAGGCTGGAAGAGTACAGTTGTCTACAATGTCTTTGTATGATGGAGGACCACCAGAACCTTCACTGGAGACACCTGACCTCCATCATTGGCATGTGGAATAAGCTCCTGTAGATGTGATGGGCAGGCACTCACAAATTCTGGCCATGTAGTGTACATACTATAGTGCTCCCCTCCCGATTTATAGCATAAGAACGAGTGACAACACTTCTATATTATGGAGAATGTACCAAGTGAGGGCAGAGGGTGGTGGAGTCACCTATCTTCAGATAGACCAGCTATAATTGGACCACGTTTTGGTGGACTGACCCTTAAAAATGAAACTGAACTCTGCCCATGTTAGCCAAATTCACAGGCAACCTTTAGGGAAGGGGCAATCATAACAAGATCTGCATATTTAGGAGTAGGTGATAGCAACGGGCTTTACTATGGGATCATGGGAAGCTGAGGACCCCCAAAAAAGGACACTCCAGCATTGTGCAGGAACTCTTTCTAGTGGGATTTGGGTTACTCAGCTTTCTTACGGCTCGGTGGTGAAGCCCAGTGATATCCCCCTTCCCTAGGCAGGCCCACCAGGACCTGGGTTGTAAGGTGGACATTATTTTACTCAGGGTGATGGCAGGACTGTGATAAGTGGACCTTCTAGTTTCATCTATCAGAACACAACATTACCAGCTGTGTAATATAAAAGGTCCATTCAGGTCAACACTCTGACAGAGAAAAGTTGTGGGTCTCACGGATCACAGAGGACCATGGTCCGGTCCTACAGATCACAGAGGACCATGGTCCGGTCCTACAGATCACAGAGGACCATGGTCCGGTCCTACAGATCACAGAGGACCATGGTCCGGTCCTACAGATCACAGAGGACCATGGTCCGGTCCTACAGATCACAGAGGACCATGGTCCGGTCCTACAGATCACAGAGGACCATGGTCCGGTCCTACAGATCACAGAGGACCATGGTCCGGTCCTACAGATCACAGAGGACCATGGTCCGGTCTCACAGATCACAGAGGACCATGGTCCGGTGTCACAGATCACAGAGGACCATGGTCCGGTGTCACAGATCACAGAGGACCATGGTCCGGTGTCACAGATCACAGAGGACCATGGTCCGGTGTCACAGATCACAGAGGACAATGGTCCGGTCTCACAGATCACAGAGGACCATGGTCCGGTGTCACAGATCACAAGGGACAATGGTCCGGTGTCACAGATCACAAGGGACAATGGTCCGGTGTCACAGATCACAGAGGACAATGGTCCGGTGTCACAGATTATAGAGGACAATGGTCCGGTGTCACAGATCACAGAGGACAATGATCCGGTGTCACAGATCACAGAGGACAATGGTCCGGTCCAGCTGAATGATCACTTCCGTTTCTGAAGACTGAAAAACCCAAAAAATGCTCCTGTGGTGTTTGTGGACGTCACCGGGACGGTTCTCCGTCACTCGCTGTCCTCTAGTCTCTTTCCAGGTATTGAATACACAGGACCGACTTGTTGGGAATGTTGCACTCCTGCAGACTGCGGCTGAGGTCCAGAAAACTCTTCCTAGGCACTTCCATAGATTCCACAATGCAGTCCTTGTACTGCACGCCGGTCTTCTGCTCAGCTGCGGCCAGAACAGTGTAGAGAGTGTCTGTGGGCCGGAAGTGCCTCTCAAACCTCTGACCAGAGTGGGTTCTGATGGCCAGCAGTAGTCTGGACTCTTGTTCAGATGGTTCCTGCAGATTCACAGGAACCGCCGTGTCCATCGTCTTGGAACCCCTGTGGCTGGCGGATGGGTGGTCGGCACTGGAGGCAGGAGTGGGCTGACTTCGGTACAAAGCTTGGGCCGGTGGACGTTCGCCCGACTCTGACACAATCCTCATGGAGCTGGTTTGTCGGACGAGTTGGTCCTCTCCATGTTCCCCGCTGCCTTCTGCTGCACCAATGGACGGCAGCACTCTGTACCGGTTCAGGCTGGATGAAGGTGGTCTGTGTGGAAGCTGGTTGAGATGCTCTGGGATGTCCTCTTGCCCCATTCTGGGGCCTGAGGGCGCCCGGGCTGAGGGGGGCCTTGGAGTGGGCGAAGTGTGGCAGGGGTAAGTCTCCGCATGGTGAGAGAAACCCTGCGGGGTGGTCCGGATGCGACCTTTGGCAGATTTTGGTCTTGCTACGTGCATTCTATGTAAGGGGTCTCCTGTGCTGGGGGGGTTCAGGCCAGTCGGAGCCAAGGCCATGTCTACTCACTGGACCTGGAGAGAGAGAGAAACACAATCACACTTCCAAACCTGCACCCCCAAAACAAGACCATGACCCACACAGACTAAGCATTGCAATTACCTCATAATACCCCCCC